AATGATGTAAAAATAGACTATTATGTTATTAATTAAACATAAAAAGTAACATTAAAAAATACTGCTTCTTGCTGTACTTAATACTTTTTTTTTTTTATCTAGGTGCCTAATTCAACAGCAGAGGTAAGAGTATTAATGAAGGTAAAAGACAGTTTAAATATATTCTTATTGCTAAGCCCTTTGAGATGAACTCAGTTATGACTGGGAGTGCACATTTCTGCCAATAACAAAAACATACGGCAAAAAGCAGAAATGAAATAGGGCTACCTTGGCAGAGGAGTCTGGTAATCACACTTCAGATTTTCCACTTCCTCCGCTTGCTGTGCACATGTTTTCAAGTTTCAGTCCTGACACGTGTGTGGCTTCTGCGCCCTCACAGTGGCCCTTGACAGCTTCTTGGTCTCTTCCGGAGAGCCAGCCGCTGTCCATGAACGTCCACACTGTGTAGTTTCAGGCTGGAGCTCCGCGCAGGTTCTGCGTGGCCGTGGTCAGGAAGCAGCAGACCGGGCCCCCACGCAGGTCTGTGTGACACAAACTTGGGTTCACAGGGACAGGCCTGTCAGCCAGGGCTGGAGATTGACTTGTTTTTAAGACAACGTCCAAGGTCTGCTGGAGTCAGCAAAGCCAGTTATGGTGCTCGGATTCACTGTTGGTACGTGCTGACCCATCAGCGGAGAGGTGACCCTCGCCCTAAAGTTTCACGGGACCGTGTGCTTTAGTTGTTTGCCGGGGAGTTCAGCGTGGGTCTCGCTGATGGGGACATCCTTACCGTTATGTTTCACCACCTCTGCTGGCAACTGATGGTGGATGGGCAGTTTGTTGCCACTAACAGCCGTCAGGCTTTCCACTGGTTTAAGCTGAAGCCTTTGGTTTCTTCCCACCACACCCACACGCCACGTGGATGGTTCCATCAGAAACTGGCAGGGGAGGGCACGAACTTTGTTGGAATTCAGAATCTGCTGAATCAGGGATCAGGATGTTCAGATAAAGAAATCAGGGTTGGGGGAGTGCATGGGACTATGGTGATGGCACATGGGGGATTGGGTGACGGGAAGTCCGTGGGGATTAAACCAAGGTGGAAAAAGACACAACATTATGTAAAAATAAACTACGGTGATAATGATGATAATAATAATAAAAAGAAATCCAGGGTTACCTTCTGATGAGCTAAACTTCGGAGCGAACTGCTTGGGAGCGTGGAATGCCTTCATGATCGCAGACCCCACTAGTCGGCTGTGGCCCGAGGGCCTCGGGGCGCCTGGGGTTGCTCCTTGCCCACCCTGTGGTGTGAGGGCTTATCGCGCTTCCAGACCTCGCTGTGCTCTTCTGTGAATGCTGTGACTTGTAAGGACAGTGGCAGTCTGGGGAGGGGACACATAAGAATATTTATGAAATGTCAGCTGAAGTGCTCAGTGATCCTGAATGATGCACGGCGTGGCAGGTGACCGAGGGCGCAGTCACATCAGCAGAAACAAGCCAGTCTGTTTCCTTTCTGAGCGGCGGTGTCTAGGGGCACATGCTCCGTGGCACAGTCTGAGGGAGCCGAGCTGTCAGGCGCTGCAAGCGGTTCAAGAATTGCATGTGCTTTTGTTGCTGGGGGGCCATAGATGAAAACTGTTCCTGAGGAACAGTGGGCCAGCCAGGGCTTCTGATTCTGCTTCACAGCTTTGTCTGTGTCTGTTTTCTCCTGCCCGTGATGCCACCATGTAGTGTGAGAGAGAGAGAGACTGACACAAGTCGCACCGTGTAAGACATTGTCTCAGATACGCTAATCCGATGAGTAGATCCACAGAGCTGGGCGACCATCACCATTACCTACCCCCAACATTTGACACCCCAGGAGAAAGCTGCCCTCTCCATCTGCCCCGCCCGCGCCCTCTGCCCCGGCAGCCTCCCAGCCGCTTCGTGTCTCTCTGGACTTGCCTGCCCTGAGCTTTCCTCTCCACGCAGCCTGCGTCTGCCTCCTCGCGAGGGTGCTTGCAGTGTCGTGCACGTGGGCATGGGGCATTTGTCTCTTGTGGATGAAGAGTGGTGTTTGGATGGCCAGAGCACATTTCGTCCGTTGGTCAGCTGGCGGCCACTGGGTCTTTAGGTTTTGGTTTACGAATCCTGTCGTGTTTCTGTGTGTGTGTTTGCAGAGGTGACCACTTTGATTCAGAGTTTTGCTTATCTATTTCTCAGGATTTTTTTGTGTGACTGTGTATGTAAATTTACATAGCAACTCTGTTTTTGCAAATACATACTGCTGTGGAGCACGGAAGTCTGTTTCAAGTCTTGTTATTTTAACCCTTTCACCCCTGCCGTGGTCTTTGGTGACCCAGGCCTTCTGTGCCCTGCAGGTCCCTATCACTGTGCAGTCGCTTGTCGTTCGGTCTCTAAATAACACACTCACCAGACTTGAGACCCGTGGGGTGCTGCACCAGGCTCTTGTGGAGGCCGGGGACGGTAAAATCTGCACGAACGTGGTTCTTGAGGTAGGCCCCCACCTGGCTTGCATGGCAGATTCCAGCTGCGCGGCCTGAGAGGGCAGCGGGTGCGCAGGGAGCGCCTGGCCCGTTCTGTGGTGCTGCCTTCGTGGGCCTGGCTCCTTGCTTGCCCTTACGCTCTCAGCAGACGACAGTCCTTTGTCTGTCTCAGAGATCATTGCGTGTGATTCCTCTCCACAAACATAGCGACTTGCCGAGAGACTCAACATTTGTCGCTGCTGCTTTGTTTTAGCACATTTAGCGCTGGGACGACCCCACTCCCAGACTCCCCGTCCCTGGGCACCCCTGGAGTCAGGGAGGAGGCTCGAGCCACGGGAGGCTGAGCGGCTCCTGTAGCCCCCGGACAGGAGCGAAAGCTTCGCAAGAGGGGGAGTTGAGCGAGTTGCCCCCGTGGGCATTCGGCGCCTGCCCACAGCTGTGGGTCCCCGCGTGTGGGGCTTCGCTCTGTTTGCAGGTGAAGTACAGCCTCTGGTACACCGGCGCGGGCGAGGTGGCGGCCGCGGGCCTGGCGCTCCTCCTGGGGGCCGTGGGCCGCGCGGCGCTTCCGCTTCAGCAGAAGTTTGAGATCCGTTTTGCTCAGGTAAGTGTGCTTCGCCGTGTGCAGGCAGTGGCCAGGAGCAACGCCAGTGTGAAGCTTGACGGGGCGCAAGGCCGGGAGCGCGCCCCGGCTGCTCGCCCGCGCCCGCAGATGATGTGCGGTTCGGGCAGGGGAGACATTCTGTCACGGGTGGCCCCAGGCTTTATGGTGAGACGCAGTTCGGCCCTGGCCACCCCTGCGCGAGCCCGGGGAGACCGGGACGTTTCCGCGCTGTCTTTCAGCACCGCGCCAGGCCAGTCCCTCTCGGCGGGAGCCCCGGCTACGCGGCGGGACGCCCCTTGGCCGCTGGATTCCGGCCCCACCAGGGGTATCCTTTCTGGGTCCGCAGAAGCTGACTGCCTTGTGGGCGGTGTGGGCCACCTCCCCTCACTGCTGAGGGTTCAGGGGCTATTGTGGGGGTTGAGGGCGCCAGAGCCGGAGCTTCCTCTGCTGGGCCTGGGCCTGCGGGCTGCGTGGTCTTGGCATCCTGGGGACTGGCACTTGGCGGGGCAGTGAGAGAACATGGCCTGGGAAATGTCAGTGTTTCAAAACGAAAATGGAAGGTGGAAAAGTTGACAGACACCAGGTATATTTAATTTCACACTTAAAGGCTCCTAGACAGAGTTACTGGTTTTGAAAATTGGAATGGCAAATGTTGAACTTTCTTCTGAGAATCAAGGAAAATAATTACTATTATGTTTTTGTCCTCTCCTGGGAAATAACTGTCAGAATCCCAGAGGCCTGGAGAAAGGGACCTTGGGGTCTCACGCCTGTCTTGTGCCATACATGTGACACTTCTGAGAATAGCACAGGCGATTGAGCCTTAACTTCCCGTGAATGTCTGGGATTATTCAGACCACGAATAGACACGGACAACTTACTATTCTCCGTAGCACGACCGAGCAGGACTGCTTAGCAGTAGAGGGGGTCCGGACCCCCGTGTTATTTGGCTACAGTATGCAGTCCGGCTGTAAGCTAAGGTAAGAGTAAATTACCTCTTGGCGCTTGTTTTGTTTCAATCAGAAGGCAAAGCGCCGTCCTCTCCGCGGGCCCCCTCCTCCCCCAACCTCCACACGAGCTGAGGGGCGCTAATGAAAACCACAGGCGGCTTCTCCTGACCAGTGGGTAGTAGCAGCGGTAACAATACCTTCTTGTCATCTCATTTTTTAATGGTTATTTATCTATGCATACAAAGGCCAGGGTGCAGGCCAGAGGTGTGGAGGGTGAGAGGATTCAGCAGAGACAGCGTGGGGAGCAGAAGAGGCAGACGGCCTGAAACCCAGCGCTGAGGGGAGCAGGGGGAGACAGGAGAGGTCTGCTGCGCGTGTGGGTCAGCTCCCTAGCTGGGATCGAACTCGCGCTGCAGCGGCTGCCGACAGCTTCAGAGTGCCGACATTAACCCCGTGGACCCCTCAGGGGTCCTTGTTTTCTCCCTTGTGTTGATGAGCAGTGTACGGTCTGTCAAATTCAAAGGGACACGGGGACGGCATCTTCTCGGATACAGCAGGGTGGAAATCCCAAGGCTTGCTCTTAAGGGGGCCACAGCGCCTGAGTTCACAGCAAGAGTATTTCTCCTGAAATTCTTCTATTTTTAATTTTAACACACAGCACGCAGACCGGTGAGAGGAAACTGAGAGTCTTGTTTTCAGTGGATATTTCTGTTACCAGCCACGGCGGCATGTAAATGCCACTAGCTTTGCATGAGCTGGTGTCAAGACTGGCCGTCCACCCTGGCGTCCCACCCTGGGGCTCCCACTTGCAGCTCCGAGCTGATTGTCTGGAAACCCACCCCCAAAGAGTGAAATAACCGACATTCAGTTGTATTTCTTGACTTTCTCTTGGTTTTGTGACTTAGTTGACTTCCCCGGTGGAAGGTGGAGGTTTGTCTGTTTCCGCCTCCATCCCGTACCCCACCACCTGCCGGCACCCCACCCCAACACATCCTCAGAGCGGTCATGTCATCCTGGTGCTTAAACGGTGTTCGCTGTTGACTTCATTCTCCGAGGGGGTTCCAGGGCGCAAACACAGGGCCCCAGATGTCAGTAGGGCTGGGTCCCTGCTGAGAAATAAACAAGCCTGATGCCTTGCTCGAGGGCTTCTCTGAGGGCCGTGTGCTCTGGGGGAGCTGGGCTGTCACCCGGCCTTTTGGCCCAGAGCCTCTGGAGGGGACAGTTGGGAAAGACTGTTTTGGATTCACCTCCTGGGACAACCAAAACCTCACAGTTAGACACGTTTTTGGCTTCTTCTAGATGCCCTTTTCGGGGAGCGAGGAGTAAGACCTCAGAGCGAGCTTGGGTGGGGTAGGGCCTGTAGAGACCGCTGGTTTCAGCAGTAGCTTCATTTGAGCGACCTCTTTTCCCTCCCAAAGGCTGACCAGAGCTATCACGTGCCAGCGGATAGAGCAGAGGATGACGAGCCTGCTGCGGGGCCAGGGCTTCCCAGATTACGTGGCCCCTTTCGGGGATTCCCGGGCTCTGGGTGTGCTGGACTGGGTGCCTGTCCACTTCAGCACCCAGGCCTCCGGCGTGAAGGTAAGTGGGGGCCTCGCCGCCCCCCAGCGACGGGGAGGTGGAGGCGGGGGGGGGGCACGTCTTCACGAGGCGGTGGCGGGTGAGGTGTGCCAGCTTTGGTTTGCACCAGGCCTGACTGCTGGCTTTGGCCAGCGATTTGTGTGGGTTTGTCTCTCTCCTCACCCACGAGGTGGGACTGAGGGTCACCGTCGTGATGTCACAGGTTGTGAGCGTGACGCTCGTGCCTCACGGTCGCTCCATCGAGCACGACCACCCAGCGCTGCTGTCACTGTTGGCGAGGCTCCAGGCCTCTAGGCCTGGGGTGTGACACAGTGTGAGTGGGGCCTGTCTCCGGAAGACCGAGGCCTCCTTCCACCCAGAGCCGCCCGCCCTTGCTCCCGGCCTGCGAAGGGAGCCCACACGTGAGAGCTTTCCGCTCCCAAGCTCCCGAGAGTTGAATGAAGTTGACTTTCTCCAAATAGGCTCCTGGCCCCGTGTGACTCCTCTGCCCACCTTCTTCTTTTGTCTCAGCGTCAGCGTGTGGGCCGCCCTCGCTGCAGGCTGCAGGCATGCTCTCCATCCTACCCTTTAATTGCCCAGTTTTCCCTGTCACAGTTCTTCAGGCCTCTCATTATCTGCTTAGCATATTTATAGCCGGGGATAATGGGGGTGAAGACTAGCTCACTCCTCAGATCCTGCCCTCCCAGCAGAGACTGTAATGACTCAGCCCCTGCTGTTCAGCTGCTAAGTTGCGCTCCGCTCTGCCACCTCAGTGGGCCAGGCAGACTGCTTCTGCCTTCCCGGACACGGGCTAGGGCATCCTGTTACCTCCTTCCCCCTCGGAAAGGAAAACATGCACTGGGAGAGAGGTGGCCGTGCGCACATGCGTGTTGCCAGCCTCTGCCGCTCCAGGAGCTCAGAGAAGCTGGGGGTTCTGAACCCACCTTCAGGAAGCCCGGGGAAAAGTCAGCGATGAGCGCATCCGCCAAGCTCAGGCCACACCAGCTGCACGTTGCGCCTTCTCCTGATACCTGCAGGGCCTCCATCTGCGCCCTTGGCGGGCCCTGACTTCAGCAGGCCTGCGAGCGCGTCGTGTCCTGGAGATGTACTGCGCACACCTGCAGCTATGGGAAAATCGCAACATACACAAAAGCCCCACGGACCCATCGTGCGCGGCTTCAGCACTTAGCACCTGCCAACCTGAGACACGCTCTAAAACACCACTGCGGTTAGCCGGGACTCGGCGCCCACTTGCCCTCTCCGCCCTTGGGGCCGACCAAGGCCCCGGGCGGCGTCGAACTGCTCCCGCAACACCCGGCCTGAACTCAGGCGCTCTGCTCACGTGGCCGTTAGCTCTTTGAGGCCTGACGGACTCCCCAGCCCACGGCGGCCCACCGCCCTGATGAAAGCGCACGTGAAAGACAGCACCTACGCGCTTGTCCCTCTGCGCCTTCACGTGGCCGCAGGCAGGTTTCATTTGCTGCCTGCTGACGCCATCTTCTCTCGCCCCACGTCCAGCGCCAGTTCCCCTCCTGAAGCAGCGCGAGCTAAATGCAAACTAGATGAAGTTAGAGGCCCGCACAGCTGGGGTGCAAGTCACGCCGACCCCTTTAGAACCGGGGGTGGAGATGCGGCTTTAGGTGTTAAAATATTTTTGGAGCCTTGAGTACGTGAAACTATGTGCTTTGTCTAAGCTGTTTTTATCCAAACTTCTAGTCTATTCATTCTCTTGTTCAGAACATTTTGTAACAAGCAAAACGTTTTATAATTAAAGCTCTGAACTACAGATTAAGTCTGACTCGCGCTGGTGTGCTTTTCAAGTAGATTAACGGCATTTCGTCGTGCAGGGTTACTGCCAGCTCCCGGTGGCTTTGGTGATAGAGGTGAAGTGGACTAAATACGGGTCCTTGCTGAACCCACAGGCCAGGATCGTGAATGTGACTGCGAATCTGATTTCATCTTCACTGCCTGAGGTGAGCTCTAACTGGTTTAAAGGAACAGGCCGAGATACAAGCCCAGATAAAACTCAGGTGTGATAGGTAAAATTTATTGTTTTATGAAAGACAATGAAAATATAAACAGTCTGGATTCTTTCAGAAAGTCAGCAGTCATAATCTTAGAGGGAAAAGTCGCCCCGACAATGGTTTTCTTCACATGAGCGTTCTCATGTAGACGTGATCTTTAAAGTTCTCGGGAAAACTGAGTTGTGGTTGATATCGCTGTGCTAGGAAACCTGGGTGCAAAGTGCCTCTCTCAGGAGACAGTGGCGGGGCGAAGGAAGCCGAGCTGGCCTCTGCGACCCTGGCAAGACCGGGTGAGCCTGTGCCACTGACCTCGTTTCAGACCGACTCAGGGAAGGAGAGGACGATTCTGGTCTCCACGGCAGTTGCTTTTACCGACGTGTCTGCGCCTGCAGAGCCCGGCTTCAGAGCTCGGCCGACCATCAACGCCAAGCTGCCCTTTAATTTCTTCTTCCCGTTTGTTTGACGTAAGTCCCTGGGCGACCTCGCCAGCAGGGAGCGCGAGTGGAGCCCTGGGCTCCCGAGACGCCACCCAAGAGGGAGCCCCCCCGCCCCCCATCAGCACACTCTCCTCTCTCCTCTCTCCCCGCCGAGAAGTGTCATTCTGCTGGGGCGGCAGCCAGACCTGCTCTCCAGCGCCTGACGCCTGGGCTGTGCGTGGCGTCACCCCGCACCCTGGGGGAAGGCAGGGAGGGGCCGACCTCGAGGTGTCTCCAGGCTCCTTGCTGCCTGCTTTAATGCAAGTTATTAAAAAAATCACATTTTTAGTTCAGGTTTTCTTTTCAGGATTTTCTGAAACGAGTATAAAAATAGCAAGGCATCGCATGAAATTGCATGGCCGGGCCCCCCGAGGGGCGCGTCCCCCAGTGTCTTGTTAATTACAGTGGGTCCCACTCTAACTGCCATCTCCGTGCCAGGCACTGGAGCTCACTCTCCACCTGGTGGGCACTCACCCCCGCCGGCGGGGATGCCACAGAGCAGCTGAGGCCGGAGCGAATATGGGGGGGCCCGAGGAAGGAGAGCGTTTATTTTATACATTAATTGTACAGTAATTGGGAAAGATGCTGGCAGGTAGCAGAGCTAGGTGGAGCCAGCCAGGCTGGGTGAGGCAGGGGAGGGCCCGGGAACCTGAGAGCAACCTCCCGGGGGCAAACTGTGGCAGGAGAAGCCCTTCGGAACAGCACTGCAATAGAAGAGACTTTTCTAGAACGGCCGGCAGCTGAGGTGACTGTTCTCTTGTGTTTCAGGAATGCACTGGCTCCTTGACAGACCGGTGAAACTTGCAAATCACGGATGAGATGACCTCTCATGTACAACTCGTAGCAAATCACGGATGAGATGACCTCTCGTGTACAACTCGTAGCTGCCCAGCTTTCTTGTTCACCCAAGCAAGAGTAAAGTGTTTACCACAGAAAACAGGGTTTATGATACATTTGTTACAGTGTGGGGTGGGGTGTGGGGTGGGACAGACAAGCTCTCCGCCCTCCCCCGCCCCCGTTAGGCCAGGAGGGAGGCCGGTTGCCAGCCCAGCCCCCTCGGCCTCGGCAAGCTGCACAGCAGGGCCCCGCTGCTGCCTGGCCCAGCTCCCTGCAGCGCCGCGTCTAGTTCACCTCACCGAGAAGTCCATGCTGCCGCAACAGCTTGTTAAGTCTTTCAATTTCTTGCTCCTGTTGTTACAAAAACACACAGATATCTGCCTTTACCTCGTGACCTCACCAGGGACATGACGACCACTCAGGGAGCCCCAGGGACACAGCTGAGGGGGCTCCCGGCAGCGGGCCCAGGGCTGAGGGAGCGGCCGCTGAAGCCAGGGTGCCCGGCGCACCCTGGGGCACAGCCGAGCCCGGCGGCGAGGGAGGCGCAGCGGGCCGGGCTCGGCCCCCCGCCTTACTCTCACCTTCTCGGCGCAGCTGAACTCAAGGTGCTGGATCTTGGCGGCCAGTTGCATATTTATCTGCTTTAACCTCAACAGTTGCCGTTCTGAACGTGTCTTAACAGAGATGATTATTCCTGAAAAAGAATGGGGTCCCAATGATTCTGGCTTCAAGCTTAATCACCCCCAGGTTGGAAGAGCAATGCCAGACAGCGTAAAAGGTCGTCGCTGAAGGGCATCTGCACTCGGGGGTTTCAGGCTTTCCGCTCTGAGCGACTCAGGACTCCGCTGTGGGCTGGTCCGGGCCGGGAACCCTCAAAAGTAAGGGCAGGCCAGGTGAGCGCCAAGCTCCTGAGCGCACAGCCCGTTGGAGAGGTGCCGCGGCCCAGCAGACACAGGCACGGCCTGCCGCGCCAGGAAGCTCAGTCGCTGCCGACTGCTTCCCCAGTGGCCAGTTGGGCCACCAGGCGCCACCCGGCCATCAGCTCACTGATGGTTCCCGAAGGCCCACACCGGAGAGGACAGTGCTCAGAAGGCGAAGCGTGTCGTCACTGGGGCGCTTCCCAGGAAGAGAGACCATGTCTGCACCTGATGGGGGCGAGGGCCCCCGTCACCTCCTCGGCCTTCCTGTCATGCCACTGAGGTTAATCTGAAGAGAAAGGGCATCATTTACCTTTAGGCAGGTAAATAACTCGCCCGTTGTAACAGCCAGCCCCACGGGTGTGAGACAGGCGTGCATCAGTCCAGCTCACCGACCTCCACTGCGATTAGCCGTTGCAGAGTAGTTTTCTGTTCTACTAGAAGCAGTCAGCAGAAGCATCTTCAGCAGTGACTGCCGACAATGTCCTTGATCACCACCTCTCCCCTGGCCGCCAGGCCCCGCGGCCGCAGGGCCCCACACAGCCCCGAGCTCGCAGGCTGCCGGCACCTGCCCGGTCACGCTGCTGGGCACAGCCAGGGGCCGGCCGAGGCCTCGGGTCAGGGCTGCCTCACGGCCTAGCGGCTGCTCCTCGCACAACGCCCCCAGCCCCGGTGGCCGAGCTCGCCTAGGGGTCCCGAGTCCCCTGGGAGCGCTTCAGAAGACAGACCCAGGCCTCTGAAGGTGCCTGCTGCGGTGGCCGCAGACGGGCGCGGGGCCGCTCGGACGCGCCCCTGCCAGAGGACGGAGCCGGGGGAGCCGCCGGGGCCAGGCGGCGCAGAGTGCGGTGGGTGTGTGTGTCCCAGATGTGCTCCGGAGCCACAGCCCACAGCCGGCACGTCAAGGGGTCATCGCCCCCAGCGGGGTGTCAAGTGGTCAGTTTGGAAGACTCGAAGTTGGCGCCTCGAGCGCACTGAGGCCCGCGGATGGGCCCGGCGGCGTCTCTCAGCCTCTGGCGCCCTGGCGGGGCGGGGCCACACCTCAGCAGGCAGAGGCAGAAGCAAAGGCGCTCGGCCGCGCTGGGGCGACCAGCCAGGGCCCAGTCAGTGCGCTCCCCAATCTCGCAGCAGTGTGGCCTCCCGGAGAGGGAAGGTCCCCGCAGCGCTGACTGGGACCGGGAGCCACGCAAGGGGTCGGACCGCTGTCCCCGCCCGGAGGGGAGGCCTGGCGGCTGCCTGTGCGCGGGACCTACCGTTGACGATGCGGGCCACCCGCCACAGCCGCAGCAGAATGAGCAGGCCGAGCGCCTCGAACTCATGCTCCCGGAACAGGAGGGCGATGTCCAGGGCGAAGGACACCACCACCACGAGGGCGTCCAGGATTTCAAACTTGTGGTGGAAGAACTCCCGTCGGAAGACGAACAGCTTGAAGGAGACCTCCATCATAAAGAAGGTCAAGATGACAATGCTCAGGTAATGGAACACCTGCGGGACGAGAGGCCGGGGAGGGGCCGGGCTGGTCATGAGCGGGGCAGGCCGCAGACAGGCGCCTCAGAACGGGGCCTCCCCGCACGCGCCCCGGCGCCCCCGAGGGCCTGGCCGCGTCGAAGCGGCTCCGCTCACGTGGCGTGTGAGGGTGCGCGCCCAGGGGCTCACCTGGCGCTAAGCTCGCGTGCGCCCGCGAGCCAGACACCTTGAAAGTGGCACAGAGCAGCGCTGGCTGCAGAGCTCGCCCACGCTGGGTATGGGCCCAGGTGCCCCCGGGCACTTGCCAGACGCGGCGGCCGCTCAGGGGGAGGCGGCGGCCGGCAGAGCGACTACCGGAGGGCGCGGCAGAGGAGAGGGCACCGGGCGGGGCCTCGGGCTGCAGCAGGGCCGTGCGCAGACTGCGCGGCCCCGCGGGCAGTGACCTGAGCGCTGGGAGGGGCAGCGCAGCGCAGGGCGAGGTGGCCACCCGCGTGCGCGCACAGGCACGAAAGCCCTCCGCCACCAGATGCAGAGGAAAGGTGGGGTCAGACACCGCCCTTTGGCCCCCAGGTGTTCCGGACTCAGGCAACTGTCTGGGAGTGAAGTCAGGGCGGCACAAGCTGGTGGTCATGCAGTGAAGGGTGTTTCTTAAGGAACGAGAAGGCCACCCTGGTTCTGGAGGAGAAAGATGTGCCACAAGGAGCATTCGGTGTCCAAATGCACAAGCACATGGTGCGGCAGAGCGGCATGTTTGCCATTTCCCAGTGCAAAGACAAGCAGCGACCCGGCCTGGGCTCCTGCGCAGGGAGAGGCCAGGCGGGCGCGGACCCAGCACTTGGGAAGGGCGCTGCCGGGGAAGGGGTGCCGAGAGCCCCCCGGAGCCCGTCCTTCCTCGGTGGCCGGGACGGCCCGGGCCCTTTGCAGCTGGGCCCACAGCCCTCGGGCGATGGCTGCACGGCTGGGCGCGGGCATCTGGGAGGGCCTCGTCCCACATCAGGAGCGGGGGGCCCCAGTGCGGAGCCAGGGTGGCTGCTGGCGGTCGGGGATCCCCGCCGCTGGGAGGGGAAGGCGCCGGCGCCCCACCTGGACAGCATAGTTATTCCTGTCCGGCTGGATGATCCTCAGGTCCAGCATGAGCTCAGCGAGCACCAGCAGGGCGTCCAGAACCACCAGGCAAATGATGATCACCTGCAGACGGAGGGAGGGCGTGAGGGACACACCTGGCCGGCCCTCGCTGAGGACCGGCCTGGGGCTGAGTCCACTGGGTCAAGGCGCCGCGGGAAGCCGCTGCCCGGCCCTCACGAAGGCGGAGCTGGCCAGCGCCCCCCAGGAGCCCCAGGGCCTGTCCCTTGGGCCCAGTCACCCCCGGGGGCTTCGAAGCTGGGTCCCAGCCAGCCTTCCCCTGCCCACTCACTACTTCCCAGCATCTCTAGAAGCAAACTGCTTCCTAAATGACAGAAAGTTCCTCCAAGGCTGAGTTTTTCTAGTTCTGGGCTGTTCTCGGAGCAAGCCGGGACGGACGTTGGACCGGTCATCCAGCCTGACCGCGTGTGCGCACGCCGCGGGTCTGCGGCAGAGGGACTGTTCGGCCTCCGGCTGCCTCAGCCTGTGGCCAGTCGTTTCGGTAACTGCCGTGTGTGAGGCGCGTGGGAGGCTGCTCGTAGCGGTCAAGTTTTTCCACGTTTCCAAGTTCAGCGACCTAACGAAGGCTCAACTCATGGGCTTCTTACGAGCCACAGGGGCCTGAGCACTCCTCTGGTTTGGAACCGAGACACGGGGACATCAAACCCAGCGGAATGTTCCAGCAGCCGGCAGCTGCTGCCGCGGGACGGCCCTACACGCACCGGGCTGTGGCGGCGGCCGGCCACGGAGCCCCCGGGCGTCTGGGTCTGCCAGCGGAAACGTCCACAAGGGGCAAGTCCCGCGGATGGCTGTGTCGAGCGCAGGACCTCGTCTCGGGTGGTGAAATGTTCACCAGGCCGTGTGATGGCCACGCCGCCCTGTGGCCGTTAGCAGACGCCACGGCTCCACTGACTTCACAACGGCCCACTCGAGAGCCCTGCGGCCCTCCGCGGCTGCAGGTGTGTGCGGTGGCTGCACTTCCTGCTCTCCTTTTCCTAAGAACCCTGCCCTTTAAAATGTGAAGATAATGAAGTGAGGTGACTAAGTCTTTCGTGTGACCCTCACTAAAAAAAGAAAGATCCAAAGTCCCAGAGCCCCATGACCTCCAGGGCCCGGAGCCTGCCAGGCAGAGCTTCTCCCGGAGGGGGTCGTGTCACAAGGGGACACGCAGCAGATCCGGGAAACTCAGCTCACTCCAAATCCTCCGCTGGCAGCGCAGAGCGGCGCAGAGCGCTGGCTGTGCCCGGGCCCCACACACCTCTCAGTACTGCCCCATCTGGGCACTAGCGCCAGGCCTGTGCCCGCCTCCCCGACCCCCGCCAGGGCTCCGGGGACCACATGCTCCACCCCCGAGCGACAACAGGACACGGCACGCGGTCCTGTGTGGAAGGCCCAGGCCCAGCCCGTGGCGGCTCAGGCAGGAGGCTCCCGGACCCGGCGCGCCCAGCCGTCCACAGCTCCTGAGCGGCTGCCGCACCCCACACCTTCTTCCCTGGGCTGTGCCACCCTGCCTACGAGATGACAGCCGTTAACGACGGAGCACGTCACTCCGGCCGCCTCCCACCATAGGAGCAGGCAGAGACTGCATCAGAGAGCGGGATTCCAGAATGTTCTGGTAGGCTGAGTCGCTGGCTAAACGCCAAGGCAAAGCACCTGCCCCAAGATGGCCTCCCTGTCTCTAACCCTACAATCCCGTCATGTACCTGCCCCTCACCCCTCACACACGCTCAAAACCTTCCAGGGCCTTCTCCCTCAACCCCTCCTCCTGCTGACCAGAGGCCCGTCCGTGCAGCTCCACCTCAGCCCTTTGCCTGAAAACGCTTCCTCGCCAGGCGCCAGGTGACGTGCCGCCTCCTTCGCCTTCCAACCCCAGAGCAGCCTCGCGGCCCCACGGCCCTCGGGGCGCCTCCGCTCCCCGCACACACCCCTGCTCCCCTGCAGCAGCATGTGACTGCGGGGGGCCCCCTCTGCGCGGCCCTCGGTCCTCTCTGAGGTTGGGAAGCTGCTGCCTGCCTGGGCCCACACCCACGGCCGGTGCCGTAAGCCACTGCTGAGTGAAGGGCCAAGTGCCTCCTCTCATTTCGCAGACACCTTACTCGCCCAGCGGACGCCCCTTGGGCTGGGGGACGGGGCTCAGAGGCCACCCGGCCCAGGCGGCCCAGGCAGGCGGGGGGCCGCCCTGACGGGGCGAGTCCAGGGCTCCCCTCGCAGCTGTTTTCTTCCTTCTGCTCTTGAAATTGAGGGTTTGGGATTTCAACCTCAACAACTTAATACCACGTTTCCTTTCCTGTCACAGCCACGGGGAAAGAGAGGAGCTGAGGGGGCTGGCCTGCTAGGCTTGCTTTGCTTCTCAGAGCCACCAGAGAGTGAATAAAAGACCAAAATATTGTTTTCCTTTTCACCCTGGAACAAGGTCGGTGACGGGAGAGGCTGCGTCCCTCTGCTGCAGGAGGAACTGGCTTATTTTGGTAGAAAATGTCACTTGCAGCAGCCCCCCCAAAATGGCTCCACGTGATTCCACTGGGACCTGGGCTAACGAGGGGAGCCGCACACTTCCCTTATGTCCCGGTCTCCTGGCCTTGGGACTTGCTCCCAGACACCCGCCTGCCGCCTCACGCGGACCCCACGCCGGCACTGGCCTTCAAAACTGAGGTTCCATGACAGAGGCTGAACCTCGTGCAAAGTGACATTCTCTGAAAGTGCTGCCCACCTCAAAGAGAAGAATGAGTCAGTGAAAGGAAGGAAGCTCCGCTCCCTTTGCTTTTTCCGAAGCCCCACGATCCTCTCAGGCTCTCCCCGTGGCACACCTGGAGGCAGCAGTGGGGTAAGCCATGCAGATCTCTGGCATCACTCCGGAAAAGGGGAGCCTGCAGCCCCCGCATGGGCCTCGCCGGCCTTGGGCAGCTCCCGTCAGACACGCAGGGTGGACCCAACAAACACGTGGATGTTTTTCTGCCTCGTTTTACCCTTTACTTTCTGTGTGTGTGCGCACATGGGTGTGTGAGGAAATTTGCATAGCAAAATTTACCATTTGAACCATTTTAAAATTGGCAGAAAGTTCAGCGGCAGGAAGCACATTCACAGTATCATCCCCCCTCACACACACCCAGTTCCCCCCCACACACTGTCACCCCAAAGGGAAGCCTGTGCCCATTAAGCATTCACTCTCCAGACTCTTCCCTGCCTCCAGCGTGCGGTAACCACCAAGCTGCTTCCTGTCTCCGGGAGACACCTATGCCGGACACTTCATCTCCACGGACCCCCACACAGTCCTGCTGCTTGGCTTCGTGCTGTCAAGGCCCTTCCACGTCTTGCACATCGTGATCAGGGACTATTTCACTGGTGTTTGCATTTTCGTTTGGCCCTGACGGCAGGGGACCTGCCAGGCTGCACACGGGCTGCTTGGCACGTGGCTGGTGCTGGCCAGACATGTGCCCAGGAGTGAGGCGTGCAGGGGCAGCGCCCACCCACCGTGTAACTGTCCGCTGAATGCCTGCCCCACCCCGGCATCTCGGGCTTCTGCCCTCCTACCTGAAACCGGTGGGAGCTGAAGAGCTTCCTCAGGGTGGTCCTGAAGTCAAGGCGGGGCCTGGGCGCTTGGGCGGGGGCCGCAGCTGCGGGGTCAGGGGCCCTGCCCTCCTCGCCAGAGGCGGGCAGGGGTGGCGGCTGCTCTTCCTCCTCCTCCTCCTCTTCATTCTCCCACTTCTTGTAGTTGATGTTCCAGGAATGGTAGTCATCCCCGACCACAGTGAAGTGCCTCAAGAACTTGCTCATCCTCTCAGCAGGAGCCACCCTGGGCCGGCGGGTGACAGCCTGGAGGCGGGGACAGAAAGCCACACTCAGGCAGGGTGGCACCGGCCTGTCTGGTCCACTCAGACCCCACGCGCTCCGGGGGGGTGGGGGGGCCCCGCTGGGCGGCACCACAGGGGCGAAGACGGCCCCAGGCGCAGGGCACCGAGCAGGCTGCAGACTGCAGGGCCCCGGTGGCTTCGGGTGCTTTATTTATGGAATCCAGAGTCCCAGGGCCGGAGAGGCAACAGGAAACCCCAGGCCCCGGCAGATCTGACACTGTGGTCAGGCTGGCAGTAACCAACGGAATTGGTAATGCAGCCCAGTCGCAAAATACGCACACAGGCCCACATGTGAGAACCGGAAGAGCGGCCCACGGTTCAGAGACATCACAGTCTGAAAGCCCAAGCTGAGAGCCGGCAGGTGGGGGCAGAGGGGAAAGTCAAAAGTAAAACTACCCAGAGTGTCACAGCAGAGGGAAGGCCAAAGTAAAACTTCTTTCCTATTTTTCCCCAGGACAAAGTCAGTGATGGCAGAAGCAAGCACTTCGCCCCGTTTGCAGGGAGGAACTGGTTTATTTTGTTTGAGGGGGGTCACTTGCAGTATTGTCTCCAAAAATAGCTACTTCTGGGAACTGCATGCAACAGATGAGTTATTGAAAGCTGAGTGGCAAATGAATCTTTCCTAAGTTCCCTGAGTGCCATTTTAAATATATGGTGGACAGTTTGAAGACGCAGAACATCAAAGCAAAAAATAAATAATGCTCGCCTCTTTGCTCAACTAACCCTACCAGGTATCCATTTAGTTACAAAGTTCAACGATGATAACTTTTGGGTATGAGTACCAGAATAGAGGATATAATCAGTAGAACAGGAAAAGAGAACAGACCCAGGCCTGTGGAAAGCTGGATGTGATGGTGGTGGCAGTCCCAGCTCAGTAGGAAAAGGCTAGAGAGGGTAAGACAACTGGCTTTCCCAATAGAAAAAAAAAAAAAAATGAAATCCCTACCTCACACCACACATGGAATGGTCTTTCAGATGTATTATTAACATAAATGCATAAATGCACAGAAAAAATAAAAATCTTAAGACAAAATATTAGGCAAGAATCTCCATGATGTTAGGATAGGAAAAGGTTGCTTAAACAAGTCAAAATACACAAAAGAAATGAATGCATTTGATTCATCAAAACTAAAAGTTTTTCTATTTACCCATACCACACAACGTTATGAAGTTAAGGTACACCACCGACTGGAAGTAAATATCTGCAATGTATTTAACAGCAAAAATTTAGTCTCCAGAATATATAAATAAATCTGTATCTCCACCCCCCTCAAAAAAGACAACTCCATGGAAAACAGGTAACGGATATTAACAGACAGGTCTTCAAGGGGAAACTCAAAAAGAGGCCAAGACTTGACCTCATCAATACTCAGGAAAATGCAACTTGAATTAACAATCACACATCTTGTACTCGGATTAGCAAAGTTTTTGAAAAGTCTACAACAGCAAATGTTGATGAAGGTGTGAAGTAACGGCATCTCTTTTACCCTGACTGATTATAGGACTAGACACTGGCACCAACATTTTGGGAAAACTCTGGCATTGTTCTGTCAAATTGAAGTTGTGTCCCTTTCTTATGATCAAGTGATTCCATCCCTACATAATCTTCAAAGAGAAATTCATTTACATTTTTGGTCAACTCAGTGGCATGTTAAAGACTGTTCACCTAAATGATGGAAGACAGTGGATCTTCTCTACTCGTAATGGAATACAATATAGCAGTTAAAAAGAATGAACTGTGTCTCTATCACTTCTTTTTCAAACATTTCCCCGTCTCAATTTATGAGGCTCCATTTGTCCATTTCCTTAGGTCATTACCTTTGGCCTCTTTCTTAATCCTCCTTTCTCCGCATCTAACTGTAGATTCTCTTGGCTCTACCTTTGAAATATATTCCAAGTAAGACCACTCCTCTTATCTCCATTGTTTCCAAGCCAGTCATTTCGTGGCATCTCTTGCCTGGATTACTGCAGCAGCCTCCCAGCCTCTGCCTCACATCTATGCTCTACAAAGTATCCAAAGAGTATTTATTTATCTGTTTATCATCTGCCTCCCCTCAAGACTCAATCTAGGCTCCATGAATGGATTTTTTTCCATCTTGTACCAGTACCTGGTGCCTCGTAGATCCCCCCAAATACTTAAATATTTCATTATAGCACTGAAGATAGATACAGAAGAAATAAATCTTGAATGCAGTGAAAGAATCTAATGGTTACCACAGGGAACAAGAGGAAGGCAGGTAGATCCCTTGGCGGGTGGTTTGGTGGAAGTGACGAGAACATGCGCACACATGGGAGAGCAAAATAATGCAAATGAAATCGATTGAGTCTAAAGGGAAGATATGAAAGAATATGAATAAAACTACTTAGGTAAAAATGTCAAGATATATGCACAATATATATACTATATACTGCCATTGGAATGCATAAAAATGTTTGAGTATAAACATGTGAAAGGGCAGAATTTCTGTTTCTGACCATGAAGCAGTAACTGGTACCGGATTTGCCCTCCTGGTGTAAAAAAAATTGAAAGTCACTTGCTCCCTGAGCAAAGAGAAACAAATGAGACGCGTTCCACAATCACCCTGGCTTTCTGCTTTTTCACAAAAAAACTGGGCTTTGTGTTAGGGCTGACCAGCTGCAGAATTTGCAGACCTGTGTTTGGAGACATACCAGTTCTCAACAGAAAAGGACACAGAGATCACACATTGAACCCCTCAACACTCAGTAGAAATTCCAGAAAAGCCATGAAAGGCCACACCTAGGGTCTTTCCTATTGCTCAGGTACCTGGGGAGCCCCTGACTGGCGATGCCCAGAAGCTCTGGGACAGCTGACAAGTGCTGCCCATTCTTCGGCCTTTCCGCACCCACAGTCCGGGGCTGTCTGCCTTCTCCCTGCCTGCCCGTCCATGGCTTTCTCCACCTCCGACAGCGACGGGCTTTCACCTGCTCACTCAGGGAGGCTGCGTCAGCCTCCCAGATCTCTCTTCCAGGGGCGTTCTCCGTCACCGCCTGAGGGCTCACCAGCCACACCCCCTCACACGATGCACGGGCCCTGGCGAGTCGGCCTCTCCTCCCCACAACCTGCCGCCACACGCCGGCCTTCCATCCCCCCTCAAGCCACCGCTGGTCTTTCCCTCAACCTGGAATGTTCTCCCAACTCTGAGCCTGGCTCCCTCTTCCTCCCTCGTCCTTGAAACCTCAGGGCAGTGTCGCTCCCTCAGCGAGGCCCTCCCCGCCACCTGTAACATCTAAATCAAACCCCTTCTCAAATCTTAGAAACTCTTGTTTTACTTTGAGAATTCTTACAGCTTTTAATGAGAACATTTTCAGGTGGCTGTTCCTCTACTTAGCTGCTCTCCTTATCCTGCGAAAGAGCTTCCTGGAGAGAGGGTCTGTGTTCCCAGCATCTCTTGTGACAGCTGACGGGGAGCGGAGGTCCCATCAGGTAGGAGGGCACCGGGCTCTGGCACCCTCAGGCCTGTCCTGGGATGGACCCTCCATCAACAGGTCCCCAGGCCGTAGGCTGTACTGTCACTACTGGCCATAATTCCCCCTCAGACGCCTCACCTGGGGGATGGAAACCTCCTGTGCTCATTCTCAGCATGGTGGGAGCCCTGGGCGCTTTGCAAAACCACAACTGCATCTCACAGAAGAGGAAACTTTTCTTTCTGAAACCTTGCAACTAGTCAACAAGCAACTTTCAGTAATTTGGGATGAAAATATTTATGGCACCCAGCAGAGCAGAAAACTCTGGTTTTAAGTCAAAAACCTGTCATGCCAGAAGCAGAGAAGTTCCAGGACAAAGATAGAGCTGATGACAGAAATGCTGTGGGCCTCAGCTATTTCGCCACCCACCCTGGGCACCTCTCGAGTCCCCCACTCTGCCCGGGGGACGGAAGGGCTGACGCAAAGTCACTGCCAGCATCAACTCGAGGGCCCAGCCCCGGCGGGCCCCGTAAGCAGCAGAGTAATAGGCTGGAGAATGAACCGTGCTCTCTCTTTCTCCCACCACTCACCTCCGCTCCTCCGACTTCATTCCGCCCCGTCCCCGGCCTCCACACGCCCGCTGGGGCTTAAGTTACACTAAGATGCTTCTGTCACTGGCAGTCCCCAGAATTCTAACCAGTAGCGCTCCCCGCAGCAGCCCCTCACACTAGCCGCTCCGGGGTCCCCTTTCTGGACCAGTGCCCCGACGGGGGTTCCCACCGTGGGACTGCAGGGCCCGCGCTCACTGCTGGCTGAGTCTGAGTCTCATTTCCTGAGTCTGGCTGACAGTCTCACTTCCTGATTTCTCTCCCAGCTCTGCCCCTGCAGCCTCCTGGACCTCCAGGAGTGCTGGGGGCCTCCCTCTCGGCCTCGCTCTGGTCCAGGACGACCCTGTCCTGGGCGGCCGCCTGTGTCCAAGTCTCCAGCCAGACGGATGTCTGGAGGTCAGTGAATAGACTCAGCTTCCCTCACTCCCACGCTCCTGCCAGTGGTGTCTCAAGCCAAGAATCACAGGACACCCCACCCCTAGGTGGAGGGTTCCCCCTTCAAAATGCCCTCGGTTTCCCAGGCCCTGGGCGTCACCTCAGTCACCCTAGTGCCTGCAGTTCTAGGATGAACTGTGCTCACTCTTGCTCGCGGGATTTTGCATCGTCTGTTCCCACCGGCTGCAGGGCCCTTCCCTGTGTCACCCAGCTCCCCTCAGGTCCCGCAGGTACGGAGCCAGTCCTCCCTGGAGGCCTTCCTTAACCGCCTTCCTGTTTCCCCATGGCGCTTCCTGCACCAGTCTTCAGAAACTCTTCCTCGGTCACAGGGAGGAAGGAGCCCAACCAAAAGTTAGTAAGTGAGTGGAACAGTAACAAACCGCAGGCACTGCCCCTCGAAAGGCCAACACAGTGCCCGCTTCTCCTGCACAGGAGACACTCGTCAGAAAAACTGCTCTCTGGGAGAGCGGGGAGAAACAAGAAAACGCGTCTTGAAGAGATGGGACGAAAATGTTCTCGCGCATTTCTATTTTTACAGACTCTGAAGCTGCCACCCAGGAGGGAGAGCCCGTACTCAGCTCATCCAGCAATCACAGGGAAAGAACAGGGAAAAAAATTCAGTCGACTCCAGATTTCAGGGGTCTCCCTTAAATCCCCATTTCCCAGTTCCCTCCCAGAGGCTACTTTTAGGACCTATTTGCTTATTACACCAACAGCCCCATCCCCAAACTTATTACTTCTTGTATGAATGAATAAATCTTGAAGAAATAAAACATGAAAGAAACTGGCTCATCGCCCTCCTAAAAAGGGCACAGTCGTTTACAACCCACTAGCCAGCATACAGGTGTGTGCCCTGTCCCTCGGCCTCTGCTACTTGGGGCACAGGCCAGAGGTGCAGCCTGAGAGGCCTCACCAGAGACAGAGCGGGGAGCAGAACAGGCAGGTGGAGGAAGCACACTGCTGAGGGGAGCAGCGGGCAGTCAGGAAAGGTCTGCCGCGCCCTGTGGCCACCCCCGGGGCGGGCGGGGATCGAACTCGCACTGAAGCGGCTGCGGCCGGCTTGCAGTGCTGCGTCCTGACCCTTTGTGCCACCAGCAAGGGCCTTCTTTCGTCTTTTGAAAAAATATTTGAGTTGCTCCAAAGTCCAGGCATGGGAGCCAAGGTGAGGCGCGGAGAGCCTTCACCCAAATTCTGTCAAAATTTAAACCACCCCTGCGGCTTATCTGACAAAGGGGTCACACAGACATTCGCTGAAGTCCTTACGGCACAGCCTCAGAGCCCACCAGCAGACACGCTACGGCAGAGCCTCGCTGTGCCGGCTGGCTGCGAAGCAGGAGGCCTGCCTCCTCAGAGTACTGACAGAGCGCTGGCCTGGACCTGGGGGACGGCATCTAAGTGAAAGCCAGCACACATGGCCAGAATGTATCCGATAGTTCCATGTTCGTTAAAACCAGACAAAATCAACACCTCAAGTCAAACTGTTATCTTTGGGGGAGGAGTGGAAAAGGGGAAATTTTTACGCCATTAGGTTTAGCTATAAGAAATTGCCTTTTTTGGAGGAAGATCCAGGCCACAGAGAACTGAGTAGAGGATCAAGTATTTGGAGGCAAAGGTGAGAAGGAATTTTAAATGACCAAAAGCCCTCAACAAACAGGCCGACACAAGGGCAGAGAACAAAGCGCAGCAGATGGAATCCGAGGCAAATTTCCAGAAACACGAGACTTAAAAAAATCAAAACCCACTATTTTTATAGCTCAAGACGGGTAGGAGTTGACAGTGTCGTGTGGTTCCGCCTAATAGATGCCTGTGTCGTTCTGACACCGAGAACTACGTAACGTGCAGTTCTCAAAGAGCCAAGAAACACAGGGCCCGGCCAGCCTGTGGACTCAGCCCACCGGCGAGCCCTCTTCTCCTCAAGAACAAGGCAAGGGGGGTGTGGCAGAGGAGCTGACTTCTGGGAAAGCAGCAAGGGTCCTATCTGAAGAGGTGGCACCTAGGTCCTGAGATGCCGTGTTCCATGCCCCCAGCGGGACTGAGGCCCCGCAACCCGGCCACCTCCCCGGTCAGCAGACAGTGGGAGACCTGCAACCCACTCTCTCATTTTGGCTCCGAGCCTTGGACACAGCCGGCGGGGCCACAAAACTGCCCCTGCCCCCAGGCCCAGGGCATTGGAACATACAAATGACCCCACCGGCTCCTCCCTGGCAGCTGGGCGCAGCCGACGCTGACGGGCAATGCCAGCTCCTGGCGCTGCCCGGGCCTCCGGCATCCCTGCCGGCCGCCAACACAGCAGGCCCAGGGCAAAGTCACTTCACTCTGTGCAGAGAAGGCCTGCTCGCTCCGGGGCAGGCTCGTGGGGACTCGGGCCTGGGGAGGGCTCCGGCACGTCTCACAGGATCTGCCCCCTCTGCCTGCATCGTTGGTGTCAACAGCGTGGCTGTGCTGAACACCTGCTCTGCGCTAGGAGTCTGGCCTCTGTGACAGCAGGCAGGCAGCGCCTCCACGCCAGGCCCGTGGCGACCCCGGGCCCGCGTCTCTGGTGGGTCTTCACGCGTGGTCACCACCGAGGCCACAGAAGTGAAGCCCCCTCGGGGTGCTGACGCATGGGAGTGTCCGGACGGGAGCTCCCGGGCCTGTTTCTAAGCTGATTTTAATCTGTATCTTTTGCTGTAAAGAAGGATCTGAGTGCCTAGGCCTCTGAGACCTAGGGCGTCGCCGAATCGGGGACTCCTGGGGACCTCCGACACACTCCCTCGTCTAAAGCTCTTCCTTGGCTCCCACTGCTCTCCAGAGAAGACCGGGTGCCGCCCAGAAGCCTACCTCCATTTGCGCTCGCCAGGCCGTGGCTGCCAGGCCGACCTTCTGTGCCACGCTCCTCTCCACTCACACGCGTGGCCTCATCCAGCCCTCTGCGCTTCACTGTGTCCTGAAACCACTGGGCCTTCGCCGGCGCTTTCCTGGCTCTGGCGTGCCCACCCTGTTTTTCCCTGTTTCTCGTGTTTTCCTTTCCTCCTGCATAGGTCTCCCCCACGCACCCCAGAGCCAGGCAGAGCTGGCGGGCACTGCCCCGGTCCTCAGCCGACGCCCCTGTCCTGTGCAGTCAGGGCCTCTGTCTGCGCGGTGGTCCGAGCCGAGGCGGGCGGGTTCCTGCCCACGTGGCTCTGCCCACGTGGTCTGCTGGGCACCTGCCAGCGGATTCCCGCTAAGCACACCTGCTAGGTGCAATAACCCCCTCGAGCAAACCTCCCCCGGGGGAGGCAGCAGGACCCCAGCAGCGAGTGCACCGACCCCAGAGCCAGCCCCACCCCCTCCGCTGGGGATTCATGTTCTGAGGAATGCCTATTTTTAAAGTCAGGGAAGTCTTTAAATAAGCGTGGCAGCTTTTCCTTCTCTAGGGTGGGGAGGAAGTTTGAGGTTCATGAACACCACCACTGTGACGGCGGACCAGCCTGGGGCAGAGGCTGCGCTGGACAGGAGGCCCCAGCAGTCCAGCGATCCCGTCCCACCCCCAGCTGTGCCCCCAACCCTCGGCTCCTGCTGCAGGTCACCGCCCCCCGCCCTGGCAGCTGAGCCTGCCAGCCTGGCAGGAGACTGGCGAAGCTGGGGGCGAGGAGCGAGGGCTATTTATGGCCGCGGAAGCGCTGGTGAATCGGCCCCAGAACACCTGCTACTCTTCCAGCCGAGTGCACACACAGCACCCCAAAGCTGAGCGCCAGCCCGAGGTGGGCGCTCAATCACGCCCACTTCCACGGGAGGAAGCTGGGAGAGAGGCCGGCCGGGAGAGCAAGCAGAGCTGGGGTTCTGGCCAGCTGCCTGGCCCAGGGCCCCGCCGGCCCTCTCTGCCCCCAGCGCCTCAGTGCAGGCCGGCCAGGGCGGGGAGCGGCTGCGGTCAGCGGCCACGTCACGCCCTGCGCACTCCGCAGGCCCTGAGCCATCCCGCTCCGAGACGCGGGTGTCACGGCCCCCCACTGTCCCCTCGTAAAAGGCGGGTGGCAGCCACGGGCGGAGCTCAAGGCTGAGGCTGAAGGAGGCAGGCACGGGGCCCCCGGGCCTGTCCAGAGCCCGATGCTGCCGCACGTCGGGGGCAGCAGGCCACTGTCCCTCCCCCGAGGCCCCGTCTTAGCCACGGGTGGGCTGGGCAAGGGACGGGGTGAGCAGAGACCAGAGCACCCCCCCCGCCTTGCTCCGGCGGGCCAGAGGCAGGCCCCGCGCCCCTCGAGCCGCCGGCCTGGCCGCCAGCTGCCACCTCGGTCAGCGGCCACAGCGCTGACCTCTCCCCAGACAGTGGTTTCCTCAGAATCTAGGGGGGCGGGACGAGGAGAAGGAACGGAACCCTCCAGCCAGAGTGCGCTCACCTGCTGCCAGCGGTCCCGGCGCCAACTCCCGCAGCGCCCAGCGCCACGGGCAGCACCTTGGGCCAGCGGGACCACAGCGCCGCCCCCGAGCTCTCCGAGGGGTCCTCGGCCGCCAGCTCGCTGCTCTGGGCCCGCAAACATTCCTGCAGTCAGCGCCGGCGGGCGGCCTCCTCCAGGGGCGCCCCTTGCTCCCCACCTCGCACGCGCTCAGAGTGAGGGGGCGCCCGGAGGGCACAGACCCGGCACTGGCCCCGTCCACCGCGCCCACGTCTGCTTCTCCGACTGTGCTGTGCGTCCCCAGGCCCTCGCACAGCTGGGCCGCACCTCCGTCCACGTCCTCCCAGCCCCGGCCGGCACGCCAGGCTCCCAGGACAGAGCTCTCCGTCCTGCTCAGGGGCCCCGAGCCCCGCTGGGCCTCAGCCCGCTCCACAGCCTGGGCACTGTCTTCACTCCTCCGCCCCAAGTGTCCTTATCTGCAAAGCAGGTGGCTGGGCAAGGACCCTGACGGGGGCGCTGGCCCAGACTCTCAGACAATGGGGTCTGCTCCTGCTGACCACAGGTCAGCAGCAAGGGCGGAAGACGGCTGCTGCTTCCCAGCCGAGGGGCCGGGCGCAGCGGGCGCCTCACCCCGCAGGCCCCCTTGCGTGAGACCGCCAAGCTCCTGCTTCTCGCCTGTGTGACTCTAAGCACCCCCAGCCCACACACAGCAGGCATGTTCCCTCCGCCCTATTAGTGATGCCAGCCAGAATCCGCTCTCAAGGCTGGAGGTGCCCAGCACAGCCACTTTACCTTCTCGCTCGCCGTGGCCATTTTCCTGGTGTGTCTGGATCTGGAAAACAAGAAAACACAAGTCCAGGTCTGCAGTCCTGGTGCCATGTGCCTCAACGTGTGCAAATCATCTTTAACTTAGTGTCTGAGAAGCAGCAGCAGCTCAAAGCGTGTACAAAACGCAGAGAAAATCGTGCACAGAGGCGCCCAGACTCAAACACAAGCTGGCGAGGCCTGGAGCCACACAGCTCCGCCACGCCTGGCAGAGCCGCACACAGGCCACGGTGTCACGCCGAAGGCTGCCCGGCCCTCGCCAGAGACGGGTCACTGGTCCCGGCCTCCCCATGGAGGAGCTGTGACAGGTGAGGGAAGTCGGGGGGCGCCTCCAGCTGGTGTGTGATAGCTGAATATGCAAAGCTGGAGAGGAGCAGAGGCTGGTGGGGAGGGGAGGGGGGCGAAGCTGTCCTTGCGGGGTGGAAATGCTCGGGCCGTCGCGGAGGAGGTCGTTGGGTGGCACCAGGAATGCACAACATGTTCACGTTAAGATGGTTCGCTTGATGTTGTGTGGATTTCACCCCCGTGGAGAAACACATACATTAATGTTGCAAAACAGCAAAAGCTGAAGGTTGACCACGAGGGCCTGGCTGACCAGGGAAGGGGCATCTGAGCCTTGAGCGGCGACTCGAGTCTTCACACGTGCATGTGGAGAGACACAGCCACACCGTGAGCCAGACGCATCTCGCCTGCGGGCTGCGTCACACGCACGTGAAAACTCGCATGTGCTTTCGTTCAAGCCGCGACGTGAAGCCAAAGCTGCAGTCGCCGCGGCTGTCGCTGCAGAAAGGGGAGTGACCACAGGTGGGCTGAGCGCTCGCCTTCTCTCGGATGCCCGAAGGTCTGGCGAGTTTTATACTGGCCATGTCACTTCTTGAAAGTCATTTTTAACGTGGGTGACTAATGCATGTCGTAAATATCGAAGTCACACAAGCGCCGTGAGACAACGGGTCTCCCTTCGACCCCGTCCTTCCCGGACACGCTGCCCTTCCTGCTCTCACGTGGGCTCCCGGCTATTCTGCGCCTTCCCCCGCACACACGGATTCCTTTTCGCAAGCAAACCTGAGCCCTGTTCTGCGAGGTGCTTACTTCCCTTTAAGGGTGACGGGGTGAGTGAGGGCCCAAGATGAGCCACCCTAATCTCCAGAACTTGTCGATACAGAGAAAAGGGACACTGCCATGCAACTAAATGAGAGGTCACGAGACAGTGGTTTTCCAGGAATCAGAGGGACCTTTACAAGCAAAGCAGGAGCATCCGAGATGGGAGCGGAAAGCAGAGGCTGGAGGCGGAGATGTGTGCAGAGGCTGCTGCTGGCTCTGGCAAAGGAGAAGAGGGGCCTGTTCCCAGGAATGTGGCAGCCTCTGGAAGACAGGAAGGCGAGGGAACACAGAGCTCTGCCCCCGGGCCTCCGGGAGCCAGGCAGCCCCGCCACGCCTTAGCGGCCCCCTGGGAACTGTGAGATAGTAAGTCGGTGGCCCCGTGTCCCGGCGGCCATAGGAGACTCACAGATATCCAGGGGTGGATCAGTTCATCCCGGTCAAACACATTCCTCGACTGACTGCATCAAGCTCCGTGAGAGGCGCTGCGCACGGTGTGTTCTTTCAGAATACGAAAAAATCGCCACTTTGAAAAAAGCATCCACAGAAACTTAAAAGCGCCTTTTCTCCCCACAGAAGCAGGCAGCGGGTGTCAGGGCCTCTCAGAGAGCTTCTTGCTGGTTGAATGGCAGCAGCTTCTGCCACCCCGGAGCTCAGCCCCCTGGGGGACCTCACCCTGCTCTCTTGTGGGGTCAACTGGAACCATCACAAGAGAAAGTGAAGGGAAGAATTAAGGTGCCCGGGACGTTTCCTTCCTTCCTTCACACGACAGGAAACAGAACTAGCTCAAACGCAGAACAACACCCGGCTCCGTTTCACTCAAGCTAAATGGAAACCTGCCGTGACCTCCCCACGAAAACAGACAGAACAAATAAAAACGAAAACACCTGGTGCTGGTGCTGGTGGGCTTCAAGGAAACCCGCGCTCCTCACCAGGGCGATTTCTCTCATCACCTGGTAGGAAGTGGCAGAGGGCTTCAGAAGAGCCTCACGCCCAACACATCCACTTGGGAACTACGCAGCTACCTCCAATAATTCGATTGCCAAACAAAAACAAAAACAAAAACAAAAACCAAAGCGTGCAGTTTGGATACCGATGGTTAACGCTACGCTGGGGGACGGCTGGTCCCTGGGACGCCCATCAAGGCCACTCTGCGCAGGAGCCCCCGAGGCAGCGGGCTCCAGGAGGAAGAGGCAGCTCTGAGGTCTGCAGAAATGCAGACAGAGGCTCTTAAGCAAGAGGAGAAAGTAGAACTCTGCGGGCTGCCCAGCCAGCTGGCAACTGTCCAAGTGAGCTGGACTTTGACTACGGGCCAGGACCGGGCTGGGATCTGGAGAATTCAAAGTGAAGAGGGAAGAAAAAGGCCAGGAGACAGTGAGGAACCAAGGAAGCAGCAAGGAAGCAGCCACGTGAAGCGAGGCGAGGCGTCTTCCTCGGGGTGGCTAGGCGGGACTTCGGGACAGGTGACGCTTACAGTGGCCCCTCGACTGCGGGGCCCAGGTCACAAGACTGCCGGGAACAGCATTCCCCGGGAAGGAAGAGGCCGCGCAGAGACGCTGAGAGCAGCCCGCTCGTCCAAGGAACAACGGGCGCCGGGGGCGGCGAGTCAGAGGGGCCGGCAGGCGAAGCTGAGGATCTGGGGGCCCAAGGGTGGTGGCAACGGATGAAGAGATGGTGGTGGCCTGGACACGGGAGCGCAGAGTAGTGGCCACACTCACCATCTGTTAGGAAAAGAACCTGTGGCCTCTCCGTGGGGGCGTCAGGCCTGAGGGGCACGAGAGGAGCGGGCGGGGGCATGCATACTCTGGGCCCCTCCCTTCTGCTAAACCAGAGGTGGGGGCGGCTGGGGGCCGCGGAGCACTGCTGGAGCGGGGCAAGCCTCAGAGGTCTTCAAACCCTGCCCCTACCAGCCCTTCCCCCAGGAGCAGAGGGCAGAAGTTGCACCCCCAGACTTGGTCTTACTCAAGAAGCGTCCAGCTGCTGGTGGGCTGTGCGGAAACACTGCAGGTCTCCGACAGCCCTAACCACTGAGCTCAGCGGTCCCGGGACCGACACCGCTCTGGCTCTGGGGAATCCCAGGTGACGCGCGGAGTGGACAGGCTGGTGGCGACCTGGGGCCGCGCACTGGACTACCCCTTTACGCCACCACCTCACCTCGGCGACATTGGCAGGTTCCGTGCTCCATGCAGGGGACAGACAAAGAAACTGAGGCACAGAGCGGCAGGGCGAGGTGCTGGTAAGAACCGGGGAGTTGAGGGGTGTGTGTGCCCCTGGTCCCAGCCTGGCCTGCGGTGGGCAGCCCAGAGGTGCGGCCAGGGGTTTGCTGCCTGGGGTGTCCCTGCAGTCGCCGTGGGCTTGTGCTTCGCGCCTGGGCCCCCCGCCGGCCTTGGGCAGCTCCCCCAGGGCAGGGCAGGGTGAAGACCAGCTCGGGGCTCACACCCACCTGGCGCTCGCTCCGCTTCCTCCGGCTGTGGGGCGCCGGGCCGGTGGCGTGACCTCTGCTCTCGCCTCTTCGCCTGCAAGGGGCGGCCGTGGGGGTGACGACAGGGACGGGAACGCCTGCGGCCACCCGACGCGGCGCCCCCAGCCGGGCAGAGCCG